AAAAAATATTCAACAAAAAGGTTGAATATTGTCTGACTTACCTCCTTTCCAAACTTTGCAAAGAGGGCGAAGCAAGCATACTTCTCAGGGTCCTGGGGGTTCGGTTGAAAGCTTTTGGGGCTCACTCCCTGCCAGGCACAAAACAGGGAAAGCATTAATTACAACCAGCAATCCCCAAGAGGTGTAATGTGTACCATAGTAGAAATAAAAATATATATGTTTACCTCACACATTCATCAGGATATAGCATGAAGTACAAGTTCACTTCTACTCTCCCCCTCAGTTTGTTACCTCCTCAACATTAACAGCAGTCTCATCAAATCTGCACAAGATTTACAGATCCTTCCAATAAACAGGCCAATCATCCGATATGCGTCTCAGTGATTTGGTTCTTCTGGCCATGTTATCCTGTGGGAACTAACCGATGAAGCGCGACGGAAATACCTTGAAATACTTGATCTTCTTCGCAATCTTCATGGCGACGGAGAGCAGCTTGTAGAACCCACTGACCAGAGGGAATCTGGTGGACTGGAGAATGATCTCGTGTCCGAGTGGGTAGACCCACTGCTCGAAGAACTCGACGTGCTTCTTCAAAAGCAGCTCGCTGCGGGAAGAAAACAAAGCCCACGAGACATTGCTGCTGGCTGACTGACTGACTCACGCCTAAACCGTTCTTTCTGTAGTGCAACACACATCCTGCATTGATATTAAGCCTTGAAAAGTTAGCCCATCATTTACGCATTTTTGTTAAGACAGGTTTGTAAACGCTTGGGCCACACTGCCAGGAATCATATGAATGTTTAGAAGACAGGTTTCATTTCTTTGTACAAGTTGGGGTTTTTCCGTGCCAGGTAACAATCCCTAAGCTATACTAATTTCATGCACCAAAATCCTCACACGTTTTCTGTGTTACTTTGAATCACCACAGAATACATACACCTCCACCTAATGCAGTTATTGAAGACTCACGATTACAGTGAAACCTAGTTACTCCTTCAGCCCTGTGCTGTGTTACCAAGAGGAGATTCAGTCACAACAAGTCAAAAGGTCTCGACAAAAGTGTACTCCTTCTGATCCTTAGATATGATAACCCATCACACAGTAGCATCCCCAGGAACAGCCTCTTCATCCTTCTTCACTGTTGTCAAGCTCCGAGATCCGTTTACACTTATTTTCACTCCCTCTGCACTTGGTGAATCAAGACTGTTGTTCGTTAATGGATTTGGATTACCCTGAATACTATATAATCTACCTGAAAATACCTCTCTGGAAAATTAATTGAACATTTTCATCCACCCATAGATTTTGTATATTTCATGTAAAATGTTGTGAATGGTAGGGAAGCTGATAGTATACATTACAATTAATCTGCAATAGCCTACTGTTTCAGAGAAAAGGGTTCAAATGCTCATGACTGATTTTGGCTGATCGGGACATCTACCTGCAGAACTCCACCAGGTTGATAAAAGCAGTGAAGTCTTTAGGTTTACTGGGCAGGAGGTGAGCCGTTGGGTCAGAGGAGGGAATGACCACGCCGGAGCTGACATCACTCTCTTCCTGCGAGGAGAATGCAGTGGTCAAATCCTTACTGGGTATAAGCCAAGAACAAGCACCACCCACTACACACCATGCACCCAGGAAAATAGACACGGATTACACCCGAGATCAAGTCAGAAATTAGAATACACGAACACTTCATTCGAAGAAAGTTCGTTAAAAGCCTTACCAGTTCATCGGGGTTCTGCTTCTGAACAGACAGATCCAGTTTTTCAATGATTTTCAGTATAGATTTGACGAGCTCGTCGTAAAGTAGGCGGTTGAGGGACTGCAGGGGGGCACTCTGTGATTCAAACACCCCCTCGAGAAAGCCAAAGTCCTGCACCACAACAACAAAAAAGGGCTTCTTAGAAAATCCCATTAATCTCCAGAAAATCCTCTTTTTTTAACATGGAAGAAGAATAATTCATGTACAAAACTAGGTCTGATTTAAGATCGGCATCACCCTTGTTGTCTTATATGGCCAAAGAACAGGTGAATACTCAAATGCCTGATGAAGTTAAGCAGGTGTGAGCCTAGTCAGCACCTGGATGGGAGACCCCTGGATGGGAAAGCTAAGGTTGCTGCTGGAAGAGGTGTTAGTGGGACCAGTAGGGGGCGCTCACCCTGTCATCTATGTGGGTCCTAATGCCCCAGTATAGCGATGGGGACACTATAGTGTAAAAAGGCACCGTCCTTCGGTTGAGACATAAAAGATGAGGTCCTGACACTCCAAGGTCATAAAATGTAACCCTACCCTAACCCTAACGCTAACCCTAACCCAGGGCGTTTCTCGAAAAGAGTAGGGGTGTAACCCCGGTGTCCTGGCCAAATTTCTCATTGGCTTTTACCAATCATGGCCTCCTAATAATCCCCATCTCTGAACTGGCTTCATCACTCTGCTCTCCTCCCCACTGAGAGCTGGTGTGTGGGGAGCGTACTCTCTAATCTTATCCATAAGATTAATAACAATCACCCGTTGACAATCCTCGACACTTACACCAGTGTCCACTCGCACGGCCCTACCTTCATCAGGTCACAGTCCAGGAGACTGCGGAAGAGGTCCAGATAGTCCCGGTAGGAGGGCACCTTCCACTTCCCTGTGCGAACCTGGCCGGCGCCGGCCGAGCGGCCCCCCTCGGCGCCCTGAGCGGCGCCCTCCTCCTTCAGAGCACAAGCAGTCGGTCAAGAGCAGGCCGCACCCCACAGCGCGACTGGGGCTCGCTCCCGCAAACATGCCGTTTCAAAACACGAGCAAGCCTTTTCTAATCCGCCGGAACACGAGCCGAAGATCGGTAAAGCATGCAGTCAGACCCAACATACAGTTAGCAGGATTGCTGTGATATGGTTCCCCATATTGTCCTGTGGGATTGGGATCAATGCAATGACCAATTACATTCATATATACCTGTAAAACGTCCGTATGCTAAAACCAGAATTTAAGCTATTGCATTCAATGAGGTAGCCCTCATTAAGATAAATCACTTTATTGGCCATTTACAATTTCTTGCATTCGAATTTGTCTTTTCGCATACCCCAACTTGCCCTTCATGAGACACACAGACCGTGAGAGAAGCTTGGGGTCATAGCGCAGGGTCAGCCATTTATACGGCGCCCCTGGAGCAGCTGGGGTGAAGGGCCTTGCTCAGAGGCCCAACGGAGTAGGATTCCTCTGCCGGCTGTGGGATACTAGCCGGCAACCTTCCAGCCACACGTGCAGATCCTGAGCCACAGAGCCACCGCTCCACCCCAATTAAAATCAAAAGGATATACAGTACTATAAAACAAAAACTGAACCTCTGGTTAGGAGATAAAAAATTAAAAAGCTTGAGTAGCTGGGACTTTTTAGTGTGATTTATGTATCAAAATGACAGCTTTAAAAGACTTTGTAAGGATAGAATTTTTAATAAGAAGGTAACACAGAGAATAAATAGCAGGAGGGTTAACCTCCTCCAATCAGGACAAATAGTACAACGTAAGTTCTGCCTCTCGAGGTTACAAACATAATATTAAAAAAAGACTAAGACACAATGTTCTGTTTTAAAGAGACTGAGCGTGACCTCACCTCAGTAAGGAGTACGGGTTTTGAACACACACGGATCACACCCTGATGCACTGAAAAACAAACCACATGCCAAACAAATCCTGTGCCAGAAAACAAAATGTACACTTTCACAACGATACTTACAGTATGGTAAACAAACAGGTTCTTACAAGCTGAATGTAATTCTAAAAAGGGGTTGTGTACACTAAAGAAACTCAACTGTGAAATACGTCTGTACAAACACGAACTTGTTAACCAAACATATATTCTCCTATGGGTTGAAGTTCGTGTACAGTAGGCAGATGATCATGGACGCCAAACAGAGAGCACCCCAGGAATTGAACCCTGGGCCCCAGCGCTGTGAGGCAGCAATCACTGCCCCACCATCCTGGTCTGAAACTAATATAAACAACACTTAATTTTTTGCACTTATTGTATAGAGCACTTCTCATTCCAAAGCACTTTAAGTATAGGAGGAGACACGTTTTTATTACACACTAGCAGTTCTAGTGCACAGTAGTTCACAGTTAGCAGAGAAGTGAGAGAAAACATTTCACTGAATGTCCCTCATCTGAGGGACAGCGCCCCCTACAGCATATCAGCTGCAGCCACCATCCTGGGGCATTGTGTTTTGGGAATTGTGTTTTGGGAATTGTGGTCCAGGGGGTAAGAGTACCGCTTAATGGTTCACCAAAACCAACGGCAGCACAGATATAGCTCTCCCCTGAAGGGCCCCCATCCCCAGTGCTATCCAGGGAAAGCCCCTATTAGCTTCCGGGACCAGACTGCTGACACATTTTCATACAGGTCTCCCTCTGCCTTACGCGGTTTCGCTTGTCCACACAGAAGTTTTCAATACCAAGATGTCCCCAAGGGCGGACAAATTCTTGCGCAGATGCACCAGACAAGATATGTCACGGCTGCCAGCTCGTATTGTTTACCGAGTGAGCTGTAGCGCGCTGGGTGATCGGAGGGGCTCGGGGCAGTGAAGTGAGGAGCGGCTCTGTGGTCACACTCACCCACAGTGCTGATGAAGCTCCAGAGGGCCGGCCCCTTCCCCGCCATGGCAACAAACACCTTGACGATGGCGCGGCAGCAGGCCGGCTGCATCCTCTGGCTGTACTGTGGGAAGCTGTCGATCTGCACCACCAGCAGCCTCTCCAGCACTGGCGTGTACACCTCCGGGATCTAGGACAGCGCACAGCCCAAGGTGAACGGAGACGGGAAATGTACAGAAGACACCACGAGGGGGCAAATGCTAACCTTAACAGAGAAACACCTACAGTAACAGCCATTTATCTACTCTTTTATTGACGGAGCTACAGTATGAAAAACACTTCAGCACAATCGGGACTTTCAATACATGCTCAATTCACTTAAATCTTCACCTAAGGTTATCAATAAAGTTTAATTTGGGTGAGAAAAAACCAAGTTGATCTTTTACCAATCTTCACTTTGGTTAGAATCCTTACAAAATGAATCACAGGAGCTCAAGGTAAACTCTGTGAGCCTGTCAATATGACGTGCTGTCATAGCTAATCTACTACATCAATCCATCCCTCTTCTAAACCGCTTAACCCAGTACAGTGTCGCGGGGGAGCCAGAGCCTCACACGGCAGACAACAGGTACAAGGCAGGATACACCCTTTACGGGATGACAGTCCATCACAGGGGACACGCAGACACGCACAGAGAGACACACACACCATGGCCAAGTTTCCCAAAAGCCAAGTAACCTACCACTATGTCTTTGGATAGTGGGAGGAAACCGGAGCGCCGAGAGGAAGCCCACACGAACACAGCAAGATCACACAAACGGAAATTAACCCAGGGCCCCAGCGCTGCTGGACAGCAATGCCAACCACTGCAACACCCTGTCGCCCTTAATCAATGATAATTTACAATCAAAGTAACTGAATTACTGTCGGGTCATTCACAGGTCACATCTGTGTGCACCCAAAACACCACTATTTGCCCTTCAAAATACAGACCTAGCAGAATTAAACCCTACCCATCCCTAAACCTAAACTATTTGCCTGTATCTAGTAGGATTAAACCCCCCAAAAAATTGTAGCTTTCCACGAAATGGGTTTCTGCATAAAACAGGAAAAAAAAGTGAGATGAGCAGAAAAGTACAAACGGTCTTTGACCTTCGAAATTCTGTATGAATAGAGTGAAGTCACAGTGGTGATCCCTGAATGCACTTTCTCCAGACACACATGAGCACCAGCGGAGGAGGGGTTTTCACCGCAGGTAGAAAGAAACACAGATAGACACAGCAGCGCAGGCACCAGAGGTACCCTGTCAAGGTGGAAGAGGACGCTGGCGATGGAGTCCAGGAAACTGGGCAGCTGGTAGACGTTGTCGTCCTCGGTGTCGGTCTCGGTCAGGTACATCTGCTTGCAGCGCTGGATCAGCTCGGTGTACATGAAATCCACATCCTGAGGGCACACCGCTTTACAGGGCTGAGATGGCAGGAAAAATAAGGGGTATTAAACACAGCGCAGCACTGAAATCGGGGACGGCAATAAACGCAAGAAAGGTTACAAATCGGATTGAAAACAGAACCTTACTCCCCTGTCCATTACCTGACTTTAAAAACATACTTTCTGCTGATTTTAATCACATACCGTTGTGATTAATGATTATTACAAAATTACATTATTATAAAAAGAATGTTATTTTCTTAACATTACAAAAATGATAAAGAAAAGTAAATTTACCCATTTTACAGCTGCCCAGGATAAACACATTTTGAAATAAAGGGTGATGAGTCTTTTTATCTCCGACTTTCTTAACAACCTAAGCAAATACACTGAGAGACTCCACAAATTATTTTGGACAGAACAGCGTTTTCCATATTTTAATGCCTCACAGTATATATTGCAGCAACCTCACAAAGCCTAAGAAAAAACGGACTTCACCCCCCGTCCAAACGAAAACTTTCCAACAGACACAAGAAGGAACATACGGCGGCGAAGAGTCCGTATCCCCGGATGGCGATGGAGAGCTCCTTGTTTGTCGAATCGGTGGTCTTGATGATGCTGCAGAACTGCTGCATGAAGAACTTCAGCTTGCTCTTGTGCAGCTCGGCATTCTCAGCCACCAGAACTGCCACCTACAGAAAAGGCACCGTTCAGGGCCTTTTACACAGCCAGCTCATTCTGCTGCCATACAAGTACAGTGATGTCATGCCACACAACCATACAGCACTGCTTCTTTCCATCCTCCAGGCATGCAACGGAACAGGTAAAGGTTTATTCCATGCCAAGAAGAAAACAGACACCTGACGGCTCCAGCCGAAACGTCGCGTCTCCTTTCTTTTTGGCATGGAAAAAACCTTTATCTGTTCCTTTGCAGCCTGCGCGTCCTGACGCCGCCACCTACCTGATGCTCTAGGCATGGCATCTATCCATTTCCGAATCCCTATAATCCCAATACAGGGCTGTGGAGGAGCCGGAGCCTATCCCTGCAAGCAACGAGCGCAAGGCAGGATACACCCTGGATGGGAAGCCAGTCCATTGCAAGGCAGACACACTCACAACAGGGCCAATTTTCTCAGAGGCCAATTAACATACCAGTATGTCTCCGGGCTGTGGGAGTGGAGTGCCCAGAGGACACCCATGCGAACACAGGGCAAACTTACAACCTCCACCCAGATAGAGCCCCCATTCCCAAAATAAACCAAGGGCCCCAGTCCATTGCCAGGCAGCAATGCTAAACTCTGTACCACCGTGCCGCCCCTATATACGACATCTATTCCTACCTTCTCATTCACAGTACGCACCTGGGAAGAATAATAGGTTACCTGTTTCAGAAAGGACTCCAGGGCAGAGTGGCCTGCCCTTTTCAACTCTGCATTGGTGTGTCCACACCACTTGGACATGACCTCAAATATTGACCGGTAGTTGTCTATGAGGCAGCTACTGAATTGTTCGGCGTGTCGTGCGAACAGTTTCAATCCAGCTACAAACGAAAAGGAAAAGTAGTTGTGAGGCAACGACGGATTGTAATCCGCCACACATGTATTTAAAATATTGTATTATGTTGACATTTTCACAGTAATTTAGTTGTGTTCTCTGCAAAATGCTGTAATTTGGCATGAAGCACTATATGGCACAAAAGATTTGCTTGAGGCTCAGTATGTTTCACCGTGTACTGTAATATTAAAACAGACATTTACCTGCAGACCAGCTACAAGAGGGAGCATTAATTCAATTTATTCAAAACATACAACAGAATCTTACCAAACAGAACAGCGTATCTCTTAAATTCAGTCTGTTTAAAAATAAAAAGAAAGAGGTGTTAGTATATTTAGATACATTGTAAGATTAGTAAACCACTACAACAAACAGATGCGTACCTGTGGACTGATAGACTTCAGGGCATAATCAAATATTTCCTTCGAGGTTTTTGGATCTACACGAATTAAAACATTACAATCGTGATTAATTCATTAAAAGCAATGAAAAACGTACAATGAAAAGGCTAATTATTTAGAATACATACAGTGTTTGTATATTTTACACTACTGTTGTTTTTGTTTCATAGTCATCCAATTATAATTTCTATTTGCCCATCAACATGAACAGTTCTGTGATGCAAGAAGTTTCTGTCTGCAAAATATATTAAATGTGGATATCTATGCTCACGTGGAGTCACTGGGTTGATTCTAAAGTATGTTTTTGTTCTAATGTGAGCAAATGTGTGCAAATAATTACCCAAAGACAGAATATATATTAATCGTATTACTCTCATGATCACAAAGAAAGAAAATCAAAGATCATCTTTGACTGTAAAGCAAAAATAAGCCTGGACTTTACTGTCCCAATACATCTGGGGAGCACTGTAAGTTGGCGATTAAAACACATTTAAGAATACAAACCTTCAGACATCGATTTAGTAAAGTTTACCAGAAGCGCAGTCAGCCCCTTTAAACATCCAGCAACCAAAGGCAGTTTCGGTTCTCTTGTAGTGGAAGTCATCTAAAAAATAAAGTTTAGGAATAGATCTAAAAATATACTCTTCTATTCCCATTAAAGCAAGACATGCAGCATTTTTTAGAATATCTCAGACAGCACCATTTTCTTAGGTCTTTGTATTGTCTTAGAAA